GCCATCTTTCCTCCAGTCCCGATGTCCTCAGCCAGGACTTCGATCGCCCATAGACCGGACCGTGACACTCTGGTCTCGTCAGAGAGATGTGCTAGAGTCTTCTTTTTGACAATCACTTGTAGCTGAGTAACATTGTCTTCCATGAACACAATCTTAACAGTGAGTCTGTAAGTGACTGTGGAGGCACCGTTTCTATCTCTTTGCCAGATCTGAAAGGCCTTCCTTTTCTTGTCAATAATGCGTTCAGTCTCACTGTCATTCTCATCAAACCAGTCCTGGTGTTTCTTGGTTTGGTCAGAGCACACCTGGAATACTGTGTCCAATTCTGGCCACCACAATTTAAGGACATTGACAAGTTGGAATGTGTGTAGAGGAGGCTGACCAAGATGATCAAAGGGTCTGGAAACCAAACCATATGAAGAATGGTTGAGGGAATCGGGTATATTTGGCCTAGTAAAGAGGAGACAGAGAGGAGATATGATAACCATTTCTAAACATCTAAAGGGCTGTCACACGGAGGGTGAAGCAAGCTTCTTTTTTTCCTGCTCTGGAGGCTGGGACCCAAACCAGTACCTTTCTGATGGTAAAAGTGTTTTGACAGTGGAACAGACTCCCACATGAGGTGGTGGACTCTCCTTCCTGGGAGGTTTTTAAGCAGAGCCTGGCCATCTGTCACGTATGATCTAGTTGAGATTTCTGCATTGCATGGGGTTGGACTAGATTACCTTTGGCAGCCCCTTCCAACTCTACAATTCTATGATTGTACGCATCTAAGCCGCATGGCCTATGATGCATTTTGAATGGTTGCCATTCAGGCTCCTGCAAAATGTGTCTTTAAAATGTAAGCCCCATCTCGGCTTTTAACCATAGTGTTTTAGGTAATACAGAATTCATTGCAGCTCTTATCTATATGTGCCTATTGAAAGGATAATGGGGATTTTGCACACATGAACACACAGTGCTCTGTCTTTAACTGTTTAAATAAGTAGGCTCTCTGCTTCTATGCAAGTGAGAACTGGTAATACAGGAACTGGGAAAGTATTCTGTAATGCACTGATTATCAGCTGGCAGGCCACCACCATCACAGCCATTTAAATATGGTTCAGACTATTCCTCCAGGTCTTTATTTATTCCTCAAGAAAAGAGATAAACTAGGCAGAAAAGGAGAATAGGGTCACTTAATCTTGAATTGTTGTGGGGGGAAATGGACATGTTGTCAGCTTGCTATCACAAAATAAGGAATCACTACACACACCACACCAACCTAACCTGGTTCAATCCAAAATCAGGCTTGGCAAACAGAACTATTTCCCAGTAAGTCAGAAAAAGAGTATGATTTATTCAGGCTTGTAATAAAGAGCAAAATGTGAGATGTGCCTTTTGTGGCCGTGTTTGGAATATTGGCATGCTTTATGAGAATACCAAATCTGAATTGCAAGCCAGGTCATTACAAAGTCCAGCAACACCGCTACTTGTGACATTAAAAACAAGCTGCGTATTGCAAAAGCTCCCTCTTTAACAGAGTTATTAAATATATTAGAGTCATGTTCTCTATGGGTGGTGATGGGTTGTTTGTTTTTTAAAAAAAGAAAGGTATAATCCTTTTGTACACAGATAATGTCCCCCTATGTGCAGGGTTGCACTGTAAGTGAGACACATTTCAAGTTTGGCATTAAAGGTGGGCTTGGGTAAGCTTGGGGAAAATTCATTTCGGTCCTATTTGCACTGCCCAAAACCATATGAGAACTGAAATACAACCATTCTTTGCAATTCGCAATTCTCCGAATTGTGCAATGCCGTTCTCCAGCCAATGTGTACAAAAATGCATATACTGAGGTAAAATGTGCACATAAATCTATTTCCAAATAGAATGCAGAAAAACACATTATGTTCGGGAAAACTGCTCTTCAGAAATGTGTGCATTCGACAAATTTGCGTGCAAACATGTGTACATTAGGATAACGTTCCACTTAAATGCTGGTGAATTTTCATGAAGACGTTTTTGAACAAATAAATAAATCACCAACTGATGTGGATATCTGGAGGACTGAATTTAAAGGTGTAATCCAGCATAGTACTGTATTAAAGGTAAAAAGGTAAAGGGGACTTCCGGGGTGGCGCCATCGGTAATGGCGGACTCCCTCTGATCCGGAGGGATCAGCTCCACGGGAAACAGGTCTTTCCCGCTACGGCGAAGCAGGGACCCTTTCAAAAATCACAGGCGGATCAAGCCTGTGACCATGGGATTCGGCAGGCACCTTTAGCGCCCCCCCAACCCGCAAAGGAACCCACTAACGGGCTCTGGAGTGAAGAGGGGGAAGTGGCGCGGTGCTGAGAGTCAACTGCTTCTTCCGCGGAGCGGAGCCGCACAGCCGTTGCCGGAGAGCGCTGCCTTTTTCCTGGGACAATTTGGCTTTTAAAACAATTACCCGTGAGTACTTAAATTTCGGACAATTGGACTTCAAATAATGATTTGCGAGTAGAAAGGAAAATTGGACTAAGAAATTCACCTCAATTTGGCACTGAAACGGGAAGGTCTAAACAGGAAGTCAGCCTTCCGTTTCTTGTAGATAGATTAAAGCAAAGACATGGCAAACTAGAGTTCAGAAAATTGCCTGTAAAGGATTAACTTTCATCATTTAAAATTGTTGAACCCCCTTCGGAAGCAGGAGAAGAGGGGGGATTTTTTCCGGACTGTTTAAACCTGCAGAAGAGTGTAACACAAAGTAACTTTCCACCGTCTTGATCCTGGAGCGGGGTGTCAGGACTGACGTTCTTTGGGAAGCTCATTGACCAGAGACAAACGTCTTTGACAGATAGTTAAAAGAAGAGAAACATAGTGATTCCATTGTTCCCTTTCGCATTTTAAAGGAACAAATATTGACAAAATATCTGAAAAAGGAAACTTTGTTGTTAGATCTGCCTTTAAAAGAAAAGAACAAATAGAAGCTCTTCCCTAGAGGAGCCTGTGAAACTGTTACCAATTCTGAATCGGGGAGCTTGCAGCTGCAATAGATTACGATCGTGGGAATAGACTTCTGACCTTGCAGAACAATGTATTCAGAAGCTCTGCTGCGTGCTTTCTGTAAAACAAGTGCCCTACTGGAACAGCTACATGAGAAGACGGACTTGATGACTGTTGCGATCAGAAATTTTGGACAGGTAGTGGGAAACTATATAGAGCCCACTCAGGAATCAAATCAGGAGTGTGCTCTGACAGAACAGATAAGGGAAGAGGAGGTTGCTGAACCTTGGGCGCCAGAGATGGAGGGAGCTGTGGCCCAGCAGGAACATGAGCTCTTGGATTTGACAAATGAACTTGGAAAAAGCCAGCTTTGGAAAGATAAAGTTTGGGTTGGTTTGGAAATGAGGGGTTGGATAGACCCCCCCCCCTTTGCAGGGATGTTTGGACTTTTCAAGTCTGGCAATGGGCCGTGAGATGTTTGGGGTTGTGGGGGCTCTTAATTCTGGAGGGACTTTGAAACATGTTTTTAAATACCACATGGAGTTTAGTGTGGACTATGGAAAAGGGGCTGATTTGTCGAGAAGGGTCAAAAACACTGTTAAGTTGGAGTTCCCACGAGTGAAAGGAGCGGGAGACAAAGTAAAGTACAGGTATAAATATGAAGAAGAACCGCGGATGGGACATGGAAGGGACTTAAGGGCCTCAGACATAAGATTACCAGGTTAATGCACTAGATTGATGGGATAGAAAGGACTGACAAAACCCGGGACCAGGAGGAAGAGACGCTGGATGAAGATTGGAAGAAAAAAAAATCTTTATTAGGATTGTTTTATAAAATTGATGAACGTTAGAAAAATGTTGGAATGAAATTATTTGGCTTTAGCAAAAATGTTTAAAGAATTATGCAAGAATATTATGGTTAGGAGAAATTGGTATAAATAAGATCTAAGTTTTAAGTTTTAAGGTCTTTTATAGTAAGATAAGATTAAAATAGATTAAGGTAATTTAATGACAGAATATTATGAAATATGGAAAGGATTTGCTGTGCCAATTAACAACTAGGATACAAAAAAGGGGAGGAGTGGGGAGGTCAAAGAAAGAAGGTAATGACAGTTAAGGATTTGAGAATATTGGATTTGTTTTTAAATGTTTGTAGCATATTTTTGTCTTTTGATTGTGTTGTGTTATTTTTTGATTTTGATTTTTATCAATTAGTATTGTTCGATTGTGGTTTGTTTTTCCTTTGTTGTTTCTCTCTTTTTTCTTTTTTCTTTTTTTTGTAATTTAAAAATTCTTAATAAATATCATTAAAAAAAAAAAAAAGGTAAAAAGGTAAAGGACCCCTGGATGGTTAAGTCCAGTCAAAGGTGACTATGGGGTGTAGAGCTCATCTCAATTCAGGCTAAGGGAGCTGGCGTTTGTCCACAGACAGATTTCTGGGTCATGTGGCCAGCATGACTAAACCACTACTGGTGCATGGAGGACTGTTATGGGTACCAGAGTGCATGGAAACACTTTTTACCTTCCCGCCGCAGCAGTATCTATTTATCTACTTGCACTCACATGCTTTTGAACTGCTATGTAGGCAGGAGCTGGGGCAGAGCAATGGGAGCTCACCCCATCACGGGGATTCAAACTGCTGACCTTCTGATTAGCAAGCCCAAGAGGCTCAGGGGTTTAGACCACAGCACCACTTGCATCTTGGAGTAGACACAAGGGGAACAAAGACTGCTTGTGCAATGAGAATTTATTACCCTCCCCCCTCTAAACCTCTTCTGGGTTTCCCCCTAACCCTCCAGAGTAAATTTTAGAGGATGCAGGGGGTGCACAAGGGGAGGAGAACAGGAAAAGTCCAGTTGCACAAATAGACCTTGTTCTGCACATGCAACAACTTAGTTGAATCCTGCCCTAAGATTAGAAAAATGAGGAAATGGAGAACCTGAAAATTCACCCATCTCTAGTTTTGGGTCCAGAAAGGTTGAATACAATGGTGGGATGCAATTAACAGACAAAACTCTCTCTCTCTGTGTGTGTGTGTGTGTGTGTGTGTGTGTGTGTGTGTGTCTGTGTCTGTGTCTGTGTCTGTCTTCCAGCAGGTGCGTGCTCACACACACACACACACACTAAATCGATGTAAGGAGTGAGAAATCTGCCCAGCCTCCTGGACAATAATGAAGAGAGGTGAATTACAGACAGCAGTCACACATAGCACATGATGAAAATAGGAATGGATTATTGCTATGGATCCTTCTTCTTTATTTTCCTCTTCAGCAAATCCCCTTGTAATTGATGAAGGAGATAATGAAACACATTCTAAAACAATGGCTCACCGCGATAACAAGAAAACCCTCAAGCTCCATTTAACACATAACTTTATTGGCCCTGCTCCCTCATACCATTTACCATTTACTGTGATAATCTGGGAATATAGCCCCAAAAGGGAAGTTGCTGTCACTTTTGTAGAGCAACAGAAACAAGAGCTGAACGCTTGGAGAGCTCACCAGCCGGTGAAATGAGACTCAAGGAAATTGAATGTTAAAGGCCAAACGTTGGGTGTGCACACGCTTGAAGCCTTCCATTGAATGTAGCAGGAGATTAAAGGGGAGGGGAAAATGAACAAATAAACTATAAACTATATGAGAGAGAAGAGAGGAGGAAAGAGACTGTAATGAATTCTGAAGACAGTGTTGGCGCAGACTCAGAAGAAAGCTTTCTCACATGAGGTCAAGCACCAAGGGCCTTCTGGTGGTTCCCTCACTGCAAGAAGTGAGGTTACAGGGAACCAGGCAGAAGGCCTTCTCATTAGTGGCACCCACCCTGTGGAATGCTCTCCCATCAAGTAGCAAGGAAATAAACAACTATCTGACTTTTAGAAGACATCTGAAGGCAGCCCTGTTTAGGGAAGTTTTTAATGTTTGATGTTTTCTTGTATTTTTAATATCCTGTTGGAAGGCACCCAGAGTGGCTGGGGAGGCCCAGCCAGATGGGTGGGGTATAAGTAATAAATGATGATGATGATGATGATGATGATGGTGATGATGATGATGATGATGATGCAGGTGACGGGGCTCAAGTTATCTTGTGAGATGATTGAGGAGTGTGCCTTTGGGGGCCTTTGGGGGGGCAGGTAAGCCCTGCCCCCCAAGCTGTGGTGCACACACACCATTTGAATGGCAATGTCCATTAACTTGGGGGAGGGGCCCTGGCTCCCTCAAATATTTTATTTGGGGGACCGAAAGAACCTCAGCCCCTAGGAGTTGGCTCCTATGCCTGGGTGAGATTTCTCCTGGATGCCATTTCACTTGTCTGAAACAAAACCTCAAAGCAGTTTTTCAAAAGGATCATAGAATTATAGAATCATAGTTGGAATGGACCTTGTGGATCATCTAAATAAAGCAATAAAATAAAATAAACAATAAAAGAAAAGAAATATCAATGAAGGGGGCAGGTGCAATAACTAGGCGTTATTCCACCAAAAGGTGAAAAGTAAAATAACATTTGGATGTTTCGCTAAAAAAACGCACACCTCCCTATATGAACTAAAGCTTTGAGGAAGAACTTTTTGAGGTTGAAGCATCCGCAATTGCCTCTCAGGAAGACAGACGGTGGAAAGAGATTGGGCAGTGCATTTTTATAAATATACTCTCCTTCAGGCATCAGTTTGCTTCCCTTTCTTTTCCCAGGATTATTATACCATTATATGTTTATTTCAAAGTATGAAGGTATGAAAATATCATGCCAGCTCTTCAAAGGGCTGAGGGGGAGTCAAGAAAATGTTCCTCAGCACTGAGCTCCTCAACAAATTTTCTTTTCTGCATTGCGCACTGACACAGAGTGTGAAACATAGTTTTGTTTCCTGTGGTTATAGCTTGTTTGTTTCACCGGGAACATCTGTTACGTGGAAATAAAACAGGATCTGGTGCTGCTCTGGATTTTAGGAACAATCTCATTAAATCTATTTTTAAAAGTGTGACGATTTGTACCTGTCTGCTCTTCGTATCCCAAAGGTACCACTAAACATTATTGTGGAGAGCAGTTGTCTCACAAGAAACCATTAGAAGCTGCATATTTATGGCTTCTTGGGGTAGACCTTGCACAGAACAAGTTTCTGAAGCGCTACTTTTGTGCAGTTTTATTAAGTGGAGAAATGGTAGGCCCTGCCCTGTGAGACAACGAGGAAGAAGAAAGAAAGGGGAGGAACCTCAAAAGAAGGCAGTATCAATCACTCCACTTTATCTGGGGCATCCGTAGAGACCAAGACATGCTCAGGATATGTTGGTGATGCTAATCAATAAAAACTAGGTCAGAAATTTATTTATTTAAATTAAAAAAGCTTCAACAACACTTGAAAACAACACTTTTCATTTAAAAAAAAAATCAGAGCTGTTTAGAACAGTCAGTGCCAACCCAACCATTAGGCAGTTGAGGCAGCTGCCTCAGATGGCAAAAGCTCCCAGGCGGCATGCCTAGAGGTGCCCCACCTGCCCTGCTGCCTTCACCAGTGATGGAGAAGTGCCACCACAACTGGCGCCAATTTTGGGCAATATTATGTCCATTTGGGGTGAGATCTGGCAACAGTTATAAAGGGGAACCACCGCTTACATGGGGAGTTCCATTCTCTGCCACCACATGTGTCAAGGGGACATGCGCAGGTCCGCCCCATGCCCGCCATGCCCTGTTCCACCCTGCTCCCACCTCCCTTCCAGCGCCAAAAACTGTGTACATTTCTGCGACTGCACATGTGTTGATCAGTGAGGAGCGGGGAGAGGCATGTACATAAAACCATAAAATAAAAAAGCATATAAAAAAATGACAACCAGAAATCAGCTCACTATTTTGGATCTATGAAAAAACCCTGATGTTGGGTAAGATTGAGGGCACAAGGAGAAGGGGACGACAGAGGACGAGATGGTTGGACAGTGTTCTCGAAGCTACAAACATAAGTTTGACCAAACTGCGGGAGGCAGTGGAAGACAGGAGTGCCTGGCGTGCTCTGGTCCATGGGGTCACGAAAAGTCGGACATGACTAATCAACTAAACAACAAATTCTTACTTACCTAGATCAGCCTGATGGAATATAGAAGCTTTTAGCAGGCATTTTAGGATTGTATACCTGACGGCAGGGTATAACCGCTTGGGGGCCTTTTTCAGCTGAAGAGTGTGATCAATACATTTTTTAAATAAAAAAAAATCAATAAATAAAGAAAGCCACCTCCTTCACAAGTGTATATGTTAGAACACCATCTGCAAACCTTACCTAGAAGTAAGCCCCATTGATATCAGTGAAAATGAACTCTGAATATGCATGCTTGGGAGAATGAACGCGAAAGAGAGTGAGCAGCTGACTGTGGCAATGTTGCATTACCTAGATGACTTCTAATAGAAGACTTCCATTCACCTGGATTTTTATTTTAATAAACACCTAGGGGCATACTTATCTAGCCAAGCTCCTGATCCTTCAAAATTAAATTAACTCCCCTGATGAACCACATCAAAAAGGACACAGTAAAGTGGAATAAGTTCAACTTGTTCGGCTTTTCCTGATAAGGCATGATTAAGATAAATATCCACCACCACCTTTTCCATGTGAATTGCCACTCTGAGATCCTCCCTGTCCTGCCGCCCTTGAGTCATCTATAAAAATGTGCAGGGAGATTTATTAATGAAATGTGGATGGGGAAAGCTCTGTCTTCAAAACTCCCCACTTCTCTATACTTTAGGTACTCCATCTGCACCGCAAGATGGTAAGTATTGACAGAACAGTTTTGCGACTGCAAGTGTTAATGCCTTAAAGTGGGACTACTTAAGGTTTTCAATTATGCCCTTCATTGAACATTACCAGAGTGATCAATGAAGTGCACATATAGAACACTATGTTAAGACAAAAGCAGCCTCCAAACCCAGAGATGTCATGATTGTTTGTTGGGGTTTATTATTATTATTATTATCATCCAACACTCCTGTGTTATCCACTGAGGTGGCAGAATATTAAGAGGGGTAGCAGGAGGGTCCTAAAATCCCTTGATAGTTGCTCTGCACCCTGATTCTCGGTTGTATGATCCAAGTCCAACATGTGCATGTCAGGAGGTCCTACACACGAGTAGGAGTCCGGAAGAGACACATGCCCAACTGAACATCACAGCGACTGATACCAAGAGGCATCAGCACACTCCAGGATCAGCAGAGTATAGGCAGTCAGCATTCAGACTCAGTAGCACAGCTTTTTTTGCTATACTACTTTTATTTACATATGTACACTTGGAGCATCATAACTAAGCTCCTTCCTCTTCAGCATCAGACAGCAAAGAGAAAGAGAAAGAACAAACATCCTACATCATGGAAACACAGTAATAAAAACATCCTGTCTCCGTCACTTCCCACAATGTGGAATGAAAACATACACCGTCACGTGATAAAAACAATCCCATGACTGCAACACGGGGGAATGAATCCTAACAGTGCAGTGCCGGATTTACATATAAGCTAAACAAGCTATAGCTTAGGGCCCCACTCTCTTGGGGGGCCCCCAAAAAAATTAAAGGAAAAAACTGGATATACATTTCCAAAATATAAGATAAAAAACAAATAAAATAAAACCTACAAACAGCAACAGTGTTTTGTGTTGCGTAGGCTCCTATGCTGTAAGTATTGGACCCCCACCTGCTAGCCTGCTCCCTAAAATATCACTGGTTTGCTCATTTCTATATATAGAGTGCCTACATTCTACATATTTTGTTATGTGCAAATGGCTTTAGATACCTATTAGGTCCATAAATTACCATATAGTATATATTCAACACAAAAAACAGTGACAATTTGTTGTTGACAAAGGACAACTGGACATATAAAGGGCCCCATTACCTTCAGTAGCTTAGGGCCTCATCAAACCTAAATCCAGCCCTGGTTTGATGCATGAACAACTACTGGAAAAGTTTATACAGGAGGCAGGAAAAGCAGGTTGGGTAAAAGTTGCTTCCTAGGGTACCACCTGCCAGTTGGTGTGCTTGTTGTTGTTTAGTCGTTTAGTCGTGTCCGACTCTTCGTGACCCCATGGACTAGAGCACACCAGGCACTTCTGTCTTCCACTGCCTCCCGCAGTTTGGTCAAACTCATGCTGGTAGCTTC